CAATAATTTATTTTTATACCTTGAACCGCTGACGTACTTTCGTAGTAACAAAGCTCTCACACTTGAGTTCCGAAGAAACTCAAATCCACTATACTTAAAATCAGCATATTGCATCATGTGTTCTTGCAAGAACTCTCCTTTATGAACTAAACGTTCATAAACTAAATTGAACCTGTAGTTTCAAATTTAGTGCTTTTGAAACCCGAAGTTTTCATAAAATAATACACCCACGAAAGCCCGACGTTTTTCATGAAAACCATGTCTTAGAGCTCGAATGTTCTAACTTTGATGCTTAAGGATGATTCATTCCCATAGCACCAATCACAATCTTGTTCCCTCCAATTCAGTGGATTGTCGAACCATCACAAGTTCGATTTCCCCTATTTGGACGTTTCCAATAGAAACCACTTTATGTGGGGTACAAGAGTGAATCTCCACTTGACTATCAAGAAGCTGAGACACCATTGAAGCCAACAATGGCAAGGAATAGCTGAATAAGCCTCCGCCATGATCTTCATTCGAAGACTTATGCCCAAAGCATTACAAACAGAAGTACCTTATGAATGAGGATTCCTTGGCTCTTTGACTCGCTCCTACAGACTGTCCAATCATGAAAGATATTGCCTGAAGCACACCATGATTATGTCAATGAATGAGTAAAATTCTAAAGTTTATAAATCCGATCAAATTTTGACTAGAGAATACTTTTCTCGTCCTTCCTTGTTTCTAACTTGCTTCTGAAGCAGTAGTGTGGAAAGCGGAAGTTTATCAAATTCTCGGATCTGATTACTACCACAAGCATATGGTAGAATCAGGGTCTGCCAAGGTGTGGCATCATGCCCGATGTGTAATCCTTGGCACCTAAGACCTAAAACTTCAAGAATAAAGGATAATATTCTTGAACCTTAACCTTGCAGAATCTACTTCCGTCTTGATGGAATAGATCATTGGTTATGCAGTTGTTCATGTCCCTACCAATGTTGTTGAGGAGTACCATTCTAGTAGTCAATATGTGAGACTAATTTTGCTCCACCAACCACCGTTAGAAGAGTCGAATTTTGACATGGATAGCCTTGTTGGCCGAATCCCCTTGCTAAACCATTTACTTTGTGAAAAATTTTCCATGTTCTTGGATTCAAGTTTGGTGTATGTTTTACTTATGGATAATTTTATTGATATTGTCCTCTAATATGAGTTAATTGAATTATGTTTCTTAATACATGTGACCAATTCAATTAAACACTTGATTAGGTAAGAATGTGAGAAAGTTAGTTGTCTGGATGAATGTGATACTACGCACACTAACTTTACACCTAAATCACATCTCTAACAATGACTTCAGGTCTATCCAACCTGATTAAGAGCATTAGCACACTCCTCGTTGTATGAATGGTATTGCATCACCATTTAAGAGACCTTAAATTCTCCCTGTCATTGAGTTTTTAAGGATATTCTAGATGACAATGATCATAAATGAAACCACTAAAGAAAATCGAGTGGAATATCTTTGCACCACCTCCCAAAATGAGCCTGAAGCTTTGATTTGGGGCCAATAGGTTGTCTCTTAACTAGGGCATACGCCGGCCTGGACCCGAGTGATTCGACGTGACCATTTGGGACACTTAGGTCGATCAATGATGCTACAACACATCTACTTACCCGAAGTAAGGATCTTGTGCCTTCAAACACACTTTGACAAACCTGCTCATTAGGGAAATTGATTTCTATATCATTCCTAGCAAAGATACGAAACGACTCCCTTTTCACAGTGGATTCAAGGGAATATATGTGAACTAATCCAACCAAAATGCAGACCATATAAATACTTATGGCTTTGGTTGATGAATCGACATGTTTGTCCACACACATTGTTGCTAAACCTTCTGGCCGATTAAGGAATCCCCACCCTACTTATCCCATAAGGTCTGGGAGACTGGATAATGTTGGAGAGCTTATATCGACAGTTTTTCGATAAAGTATTGCATGTATTTTGGGTTTATAATTGAACATCAAATTCTCAAGTTCACCCTAAATAGCCTCGCCTAGTGATCATAAAGCGCAATTTAAATGATCGCCTGGATTTTGGTAAACGTACTAAGTTTTCGGTTTCTGCCTAGGGCTATGCAATCTTGTATGCAGTTATGTTAGTCCACCTTGAGGTCCATTGCCACCTAACCTATATGACGTTACAATTGGTTACTAGCTACGAACTTGACAATTTTCGTATTTACGCATTTAGGTGTGCATTCCACGTGCCAAGTTGCGCCGCGTACCAATATGAGTCCTCAAATAAGGATGTGAATCGTTGTCGATTATGATTCTAATTAACACTAGCTCTCTTAGAGCCCTTACACACGATCTTTTTATCGCTGATTTGCGGGTTGTCACTTTAATGAGACAGTCTTCCCGTCATTAGGGGGAGATAAGAACATCACCGTTCTTGTAGAACGGCGCGAATTTATGGGTTGTGCGATAAATTCTAGATTTCAGAATGTTGCTCCAGATGCAGTCCTCTGATCTAGCTAAAGTGAAGAGATCATATACCAGTTGCAAACATGTCTGCAAGGATATACGTACTTAACAGACATCGAGTCAACATCCCTAAAGGGTGTGTTGCCCCTATTGGACAATTTGGACACCCATATTGGACGGTCCGGTACGCCAGCAGATAGTCAATCAATTTGTCTTAGCCTGGAGCATGATATATTACTCAGTTCATAGGATTCACTTTCCTAGAAGAAAAAGACACGAGACAACAATAAATCCATACTCGTTTGTTATCTCAAATCATTTCCATCTCATGAGATTAATCCGAATTACTCCCGAGACTTGAAGTTCTTGGTCCAGTATACTAGTTTGGATAAGCTAAATAGAATTGAAATGAGATTACCATCGATGATGTTTTCACTTATATGGTAGCTACTGACATAAATGAAAAAAGACGATATCGAACCGTGTTTCGTTGATTGAGTAACAACGTAAAATTGATTGGACAACCGAAATTACAATCCAAGTCAAATTCCTTACCAAAGTGGATTTGGACCTATCATTCCTATACTGCCTAAGGTAACCCTGTTGTGTTTTAAGTGGGAAATGAAGTTTTATGAGATGAATGAAATAGTGCGATATGATGCACGTCTTATGGTGCAAGGTTTCCCTCAAACGTCTTGTGATTAATAGCAGCATTATGAAATGTGGTTAGTGTTTCTCCATGGGGATATAGATATGGAGAGTTACATGCAAGTTCCTGAAGAATTACATGGACTGGTTCAAATAGTTCCAAACCACGGAACACCCTCTTCACTGGTTTGAGGTGTTCACTTACAATCCAACGGATGGTATACCCGTCTAAGTGATCATTTGATCAGTCAGGGATGAATTATGCCTTTGCGTGTTGAACTATGAAGTCTTATTCTGAATTGCTAGAGTTACAGTTTATGTCGTTGACGCGAATCTCACCAAGACTCCGGAAGAGCTTGAGAAAACTACCTTGCATCTGAAGATGGAATTTCAGATGAAAAATCTTGGGAAAACTCCTTTATGCCTTGACTTGAAGTTGAAGCATTGTTTTGAGGGTATTTTGGTCCACTAGTCGAACTACACCCCGAATGTGTCACTTTTGAGTATACCTTTGATTGTCCATATGTTATATGCAAATAAGACCCTTAAAGAGGTTATGAAATCCGAAACTCCATATCTGAGTTCAACTTTGCGCTTCGTTATACTTAGCTCATTGTATTTAGACAGGACATCTCCTTCGTTATTGATCTATTGGTAAAGATGCAACACCGTGCCTACACTCAACCACTGAATTGGTACTAAAGACATACCCTTAAGGTACTACGAATTTGGGCAAATCAAATCCCATCATCGAGCGGATCCAACCCCCTGATCCTCGAAATGATGCTTGCCTTGTTGTTATGCTGACACATGTTACTTATCAAACCCGCACAAGGCAAAATCCTCGAATGGCTATGTCTTTATTGTTAGGGATATCATAGTATCTTAGAGGTCCATCATATAACCTTAGTTGCGAAATCTTCAATCGTTCCAAAACTCACCTCACTTCACTATGCCACAAGTGAGACATGGTTAGGAGTTCTTGTTGAGCATATTCGAAGTACTTGTTGTTTTTCATCCATCGTTGAATCCCAAAGACAATCCATGAAGACTATGCTGTATGTATAAACCCGACTAAGCCATGATACATCAATGAAGTCAACGCCAAGACATATTGCATCCACATCTACATTAGCAAAGCATCATGATATTGATGTCATGCAAGCCGATCCCAGACAACCTTTCCAACCTCTACACGACGTCACTACTGAAGTCAACTTTCCAAAAGCTTGTCCAAGGAATTGGTATGCCTAACTATTCATATGCAATTCTTGTAGTTCTTATTTGGAAGTTATGTCAAACTTAGGAGGAGTATCCAAAAGTATACTCACTTGATCTTAATGTACTTTTTTTCCTTACAATTAGGAGCATTTTTCCTACTGGATTTTTGCTACCTAACTAGGTTTTAATGAGGCACCCATCCTGGGCTAATCATACCCTTGTGAGCTATTCTACTTGCGTCCAAAAGATGTATAGTTTTGACTTAATGCAACTTCTCATTTTTCTCCTTAGTCTATGGGTTTTTCTCCTACCTTGGGTTTTACTATAGCGAGATTTTGTGAGTTTTACCTTTTTTTTTGCATTTTTTCATTGATATGAGACTTGTATTCCATTATTATGCCGACGACTTCATCAACTGTAATGTGTAATGACTTTATCGCTGAAGACCTGATGCGCCATTTACTTGAGTATTTACACACTCGAGATGGAGTGTTGCAGTCCTATTAGATTAGGAATGTGATTGTGTAAATCCTTGTAGATCTAGGAATATCTCTTATATTTCTATTAGGAGTTGGTTACCTATTAAGAGTTGTAATCCTAAAAGGGTAAGGAATTAACCTTCCCTGCTACAATAAATAAAAGCACAATAGGGTCGAATAGAATACACCCACAATTGCACATCTCTCTCTGGCCTCCATAATCATTCAGTAAATTATGCTTACAATATTAATACATATTTTATTGTTTTAAATAATAATAGACATGTTATTCAATTTTTCTTAGACTTAAAAAAAAAAAAAAAAAAAAAACAGAACATGTGATATTATTGGGCCAAATCAGGAAGCACTTCAGTATTATCCTAAAAAAAAAGTTTGCTACAGCGCCCCTGCCACCCTGCGTCTTCGACTCTTCGCCTTTAGTCTTCTCTTCGTCTTCCAAGCCCAAATCTTCTCTTCGTCATCGTATTCTTCACGACCAAAGTGACATAGTTACAGAGTTGCACCGTTCACCCACACCTAAATAACAATTTCGTCGATCTGCCATTGGCCCTCCGCTCTTCGCTGGTTCACCAATACGAAGTTTGATACTCTTTCTCAGGTCTTAGCGTCGCCACCATCTTTCTTTTTACTTCAATTCTCAATTCTTTTTCACCTTTATTTTGCTTCAAATTCATCTCAGGTTCACCATCAAGGCTCATTACTGAGACATCACGAATTCATCTTTTTCACCTGTATTTCTTCATTTTCTGTCTCAATCTCAGGTCCTAAATTAGTGATTGTGAGACGTCTGCAAGTTTGCAACTTCAAGACTGCAAAAGTATTAAAGTTGTAACTTGTAAAGCACTATAGCAGAAAAACCATAATAGGTAATTTACTAATTTTTATAATATATTGTTATCTATTTATGAAGAAACTGCAGTAATCACCTTTCAACTTTAATCCAACTGGACTACATAGTCCCTTAACTATAAGAGCAAGTCCACCGGAGGTGGAATAGCCCAGCACCCAGTCAAAAAACCAGGCTGGGACCCTGTCAACCCACTCCAGCCCACGGGATTGCCTGGCATCCAGTCTAAGCTGGTCTCCAGACCAGCACAAAATTGACAGACCTTGGGACCGGCCTATATGACGTCATGATATGAAATCGGTGACGACGAACTCCATCTGTGGAGAGAAAGACGGCTAGACGACGCTGTTGAGGATGATGACGTCAAATCGGCGATGCAGCTGAAGGTCAGGTCGTAGGTCCAGAGGCGACGGGTTTGGAGCTGGCGAGCCTAGGCGTTGATGTCGACCAGTTTGGGATGGGTCGGACCTCGGAGGGCAGTGGAGAGCAAGCGGAACGTGAAAGAGAGGTGGGGATTTGATGGAAGGTAGAGATGGGGGGTGTGGGGTTGGCGTGCTCTGGTATGAGGAGCATTTTTGGAGAGAGAGGGAATGAGAGGGAAAGAGAGAGCTCACAGTGAAGGTGGTGGTAGGTTGGAGTGAAAAATAATTTGCAACTAAAACAATGAACCAGCAGGGAATGAAAAGAAGCAGAAAATTACTCGGTTGCACCTTTATCTTTCTTTTGGTCAAAGATGTACTGTCAAATTTTTTTTAATATTTTATAATAAAAATAATAATATTTTAATAAAATTGACTAGGCTATTTTTGTTAGGGGTGGAGATGTTTTGGCCTATTACTATTCAATGGGGTCTATTACTGTTTACTTGAGTGGATAAATGGGCTGGGTGCTGGCGCAAAGTCTTTAGGGGTGGACTTTGTCAAAATGTGCAGTTATGATTTTTTTGGTAAATTCCGTCAAAACATGCATCAAAATGAATCGGTGAGATTGAATCAAGGGGCAAATATGAAAAATCAAATGAGAAAATTTCTACAATGATCCATCAACTTTAACCTAATTGGAACAATGATCCCTTAACTTTAATCTAAGTATAGTAATGGTTCTGCCACTATGCCTCATTTTGACAGAATGTATGATGAGATTGACAAAAATGACCATAACCGTATATTTTAATGAGTTTAAAGACCAATGATCATAGAATTTTAATTGAAAGATTGTGGAAGCATGATTTTCTAGGACTGGGGTAAGGCTGATCCAAACATAGTTACTTTAGAAGTCTGGTCATAGTTACTTTAGACAGAGTAGTGGTGCCACTATCACCCTGTTCGGGGGAAATAGGCGAAGTCTAGCAACTCCACTGGATGACCATACTTGTTCCGCAAGATACGCGATCCGATTTGGATATGGACTCAATCAGAACCTATAAGTCTTGGAGTTCCTACAATCTAGGAATTGGCGTGCACCGCAAGCAATTACAACTCCTAAGATGGTTCAATATCCACTTCTAGATATCCTCTAGGATTCTCCCGGTATAGAAAGAGGATTCTATCATAAAAAGGTCTATCTCTCATGGTATAAATACACTTATGTAGGGTTCATCTATGGTAACGCAATTTAAACCCTTCAATTATATTGCCCACTACTTGAGTCTAAAATCATCCATTAAATTGACCATCGGAGAGCCTTTGACCAACACACACCTGCTCCCCTGGTCTTAGGCTTGCTCATAATTGTTTACTGTTTGCAAGTTGCTCAAGTTTGTCCTCAACCACCACTTACGGCGGTGGGCAAATTTGGTTCCAACAAATCGCTCCTAGATACTGAAATTAAAATTGCTATATATATGATTGAGCCTAGTAGGCCTATCTTGGTCAATGAGCCTCGTGAGGGATGTGTGCTTCTGTTTGTGTGCAAGTTGTACCTTACCAAAAATTACATGATTACTGAACTTTTGATAATCATGTTGTGAAGAATGATGCATGTCATCATGATGGTTCACAGCGACTCTAAATCAAACAATATGGCAGCACCCCTGACAATCGCCCAACGAGCTTGGAGAATACCAAAACAACACTCAACATTCTTCTTACACCGTTCTTGACAGCTTGCAAAGTGTTGTTCCTTTACACTTCATGGACGTGGCACTGTTTTGACAAACGATAACCACCTTGGGTAAATGTCGTCTGCTAGGTAGTATGGCCCGTGGTACTTATGTCTGTTGACCCAGTACGTGAATCTTGGTGCTTTTCCTTGCAACACATCGTTGAACACTAGGGATTGGGTAAGGACACTAAGGTCATTTTGAGCCCCGGAACACAAAAAAAAACTTGCCAAATCCATGTATCAAATGAAGCCACTGCCTCCAAAATGATATTTTTTGCTCATTTTCTGTCCCTATAAGCTCCTTGCCATGCACTTGGATAGTTTTTCCAGGTCCAGTGCATATAGTCGATGCTTCTAATCATCCCACAAAAACCTCGCATCTCGGCCTTCTTCAGAAGCCTTTGCTAGGTCTTCGGAGGTACTCTGCAGTGTAGAGAGATTCGATTGCAGAACAAAACCTCGTGAAGGACTCAAGAATGGTTGATTTCCCCATCTTTGCTATCTCATCCACTTTGTTTACAGATGTTCCATATGCAAGTATCCGCAAGGTAGCAGTAATTTTTTGCTCAAGAATGAGACCTATAACACCAAAAACATCATTCTTTTGCACAAAGTAAGAATCATGGTTGCAAACTGCAGTCATGATTTTGTTGAACAAATGTCGTTCAATTCTAAAACGACGTCTAAAGTATGTATCAGGGAACGCATTGTTACAGACAAAATAATCGTCTAAGAGATTCATACCTCGTTGTTGCATGCTTCTATCAATGTTTGCGGAATGGCTGGCCTGCAGATTTGAGCCACAACTTGGATGACTTGACGAGAATGTGAGGCTCTTTGATTTCATGCTTCATCATCTCTCCTTCTATGCTACTCATTAGAGGTGGAATTTTTTGCTAAATTACTATACCAATTGTACCATACCAAAGTTATGCCAAAAAAATTATATCATTGGTAATGGCACGGTATTTGTACCGTACCATACATTTTTGGTACAATAATGGTATTCAAAACCATTACCAGTAGTATACCGCACCATACCACTACTATTAATATATTATCATTTATTTATTCATTTATATATAATTAGGTATTATTATCATTATATATGCACTTTATATTTTTTTCCTAGTCATTTATCCAATCATCTCACCCTCTAACCTCTACTTTCCCAATAAAAAAAACCTAAGTCTTCTTGCGCTGTGACTCTTCATCTTTTCACTCATTTAGCCACCAACTTCATCTCTGTTGCTCCAGTTCCGACAACTCTCTCTCTCTAGGGTCCATCTCATCTTCTCCTTCATCAAATAGAGATGTCTTTCTCCCTAACTTCATCTATCAAGTTAATTTTTGTACAATTTTAAAGAATGTAGAGATGGAATTTAGGAATCTTTGTACTATTTTTTTTAGGGATATTGGGTTCTTTCAGCAATTCTTTCATCTATTTACTTCTTGTTTCTTAAATGAATCTCTATAAAATTCTCATAATTAAATAAAAAAGTTTTAGATACCCAAAGGGAATGGCCAAAACACGTTTGGGCCTTGAATTGGATTGGAAAGAAAAAAAAATCAAATTTTGGGCCAAAACAAAGTGGTAATTACCATTACCATACCATACCAACCGAACTATTTGGCATGTTGAAATTTGGTATACCGAAAGTTTGGCACGGTAATGGTAATAGATTTTGTCATACAAAAAGTTTGGTATGGTAATTGGTACATGGGTTTTTGTATGGTAATCATACCAATACCACCCCTACTCCTCATCCTCATCCTCTTCCATCTCATTTTCGCCCACCTGGAGATTGAACATTTTTTCCCTTTGCTTAAACAATTCTTTCTCTTGCTCATCGATTTTCCACAACATCCTTGACGAAGACATTGTAAGAAAGAAGCAGAAATTATGAATAATGATAGAGATTTTGATTTTGATGTGTGATTTCTTAGGAACGATGGTGGATTATATGGAAGAAAAAGAAAGGATTAGGTTGTAGATAATACCATGTGGCATGCCGTCATTCATTAAAAATCTGATCGAAATCTATCGCAAAAAATTATCTTCTCGGATAATGACATGTGGCGCAACGAGAACGATTAAAAATCTTATTCGGAATTACAAATAAAATTATTTTGTATTATTTTATAAATAAAAAATACTAATATTTTATTGTTTATTGACATGGCTATTCAGTTTATGGATGGAGATGCAAAAGACAGTTACTGTTTATTAATGACAATTACTGTTTACTGGAGGCTATTCAATAGTGAGTTGCCCTAGGAGGCTTTTGCAATACTGAAGTTGCTCTCTTATGGATCCAGTGCCATTTTGATGGAAGATGATGCCGTATAATGCCAGGTCTAGTGGTAATAGCAAACACGTCATATAATATCATATGTTTTGTGTGGTTCTAGGTTCGTATCTATTTACTGTAGTACAAATTAGTTATTTTAAGGGGACAAACCCCTATTTGGTCTTCATTGTACACATGTTGATAAGGCAAATCTTACATAATGAAGGTGTTACAGATCCGGGGTCGTAGATATCTTGCTTTTCCAACTCTGTGCTCATATGTTTCTACCAGCTGGCAAGAAGTTAAATAAAAAAAATAGAAAGCAGCAAATATTTTTATCCATTTACATATTGTCCACATCCGACTAAGTAACTGGTACAGCTTAATTTTTTTTTAAAAGCAGAGATGAAAAAAAGCTGGCCTGAAAATTGTGTTTGGTAACAGAACAAAAGAGAGCTTATTTCCGAAGTTACGGTTAGAAAAAGCTGAAATATGGAAGCAGGTGCTTTAAAAAATCAGCTTTTTTTTCTTGAAAACACGGGTGAACAGTGTGTTTAATGAAAGTTTGTAAATGCCCATCCTACCCTATTTTTGTCTCTCCATCACACGAACAAAAAATTTCATCTTCCTTGCTCAGGTCGCGTCGTCCTCTTCCTTGCTCTGGTCGGCAACTCCAGTTTTAGCAATTATTCAGAGCCAGTTACATCTATCAAATTATGCACCCATCAATTAAAACTTAAAGATGAACAATCACAGATGAAGTAAATAATTAAAATATTGTAAGGCAACAAATCATCTGGAACTATTCTCACAACTTTGATAGAGAATGGCAAAAAGAATAAGAACATGAAACTTCATTCCCTTTGGTTAGATGGCAGGAGAGAAAGATTCGAGAGTCCAACCCCTTTTCGAACCCCGACCTACCCTCTTCACCTAATTTCCTCCCTCACAATGAACTCCCCATCCCACCCAAGCTCCTTTCCCCTCATGCAACCATACCCAAAACCCAACCCCCTTCCCCCGATGCAACCTACCCAAAACCCAATATTAATATTCTGGGTGAAAAAATTAATGGGTATTGGAAATGCTAGCTTTTCTGGGAGGTAAAGGTGGGGATGATGTCGATATTGAGAACGATGCTATTTTTTTTTTTTTGACAAATGAAAACGGAGAAGATGAAATTGAAGAACACGAAGACAACGAAAAATATGAGGGAGAGGACAGTTCGAGAAAGAGAATTATAAATAATTATTTTATTATATTATTTATACTATCATATCATTTTCAATC